TTTTTATTTTCAAATTTATTCGATATTCGTTTATTCGAAATTTTTCCTTTTCGAACTTATTCCATATTCCTTCATTCGATGAAAAATTTTCGAATTACCCAAGTATACAGTCCAGGTAATTAATTACTAAGAAAATAGTAAAATGTGAGTAATGTAGCCGATTTCTATTTCATACAGCAGTAGAACTTTCAAAAAAAAAGCTTTCACTTGAGTTCTAGCCAGAAAAGTAAATGCAATGGAATTTTGATTTAGAGTGCGGCTTGTGTGAAGCTCTGCGAACTTCTAACAAAAGAGAGTAGAAGATTGTTTTAACCACTGCTGGATAGAGCATGAAAAGACTTCTTGACAGTACACTAAGTCTTTTCCAAGGAAGGAGTTTTGTGGAAAAAAGTTGTTCTGAAACCGAGGCTAAAAAACGCACATTACTTTTGCACCAACCTAATATTTGGAGTTGTCATCAATCCCATTATAATCATTTGGTTGTCGAAATTTTTATTTACCCTGAAGCCCCTTTCGAGCTCATTATGTTCAATTCACCAACGCTGATGGGCAGAGACGTCTAAGCCGTTCTACTTTTGGAGCGTTTTTTTCTTCGCTTCGAAATTTAACTTCTGCAGCTGGAGTTGGGTACCTAGTGAGGGTCTATTGTGCAGCATCAAAATCAATTCAAATGGACGGTGCTTTCAAGCTCGGTTTGAATATGTGAGCACACCTTTTTCCAGTTTCTTAGTCACGACTGATTGATGCATATAAAGTTGGGATATCACGCTTGGCGGAGGGTTTCAATGTTGCGGAAGTCTATTTTTTTACCTTGATCAAAATTGTTGCGATGGAGGATTTGGTGTTGTCTGAATTAGCCAGTATTTTGTCGAAGGATTTTATCCTCTTCGTAAACACATCCCAAATTCTCCACTTTCTTTCCAATTCTCCAATTCTCCACTGCATCATTAGCTGTTTCCATGGTGCAAGCCAAATATAGTTGTGCAGTTCTTCGCTCCTCTATAACTTCCCTATTTTTGTTCAGAAAGCTGCAATATGCGAGATACGAGCATTACGTTAAAGTTTTTCATAACTGTTTATTTATTTATTTTGTTGCTTATTATGTTTCTTTTTGTTAAGCGTTCGTTTAGTTTGATGTTGCTGTCCAGTTACTTATTGCTCCTACTATTAGAATCAGTTATTTTGCTGCTTTGTTACGTCATACATGCACTATAGCTCAGATTTCTTCTGCTTGTGATAATAACATGACTTCTTCCCCTTCAAATTTGCAACTGTCCTATCTTGTTGATTATGCTATGCATTGATTGCTCTTATTAACCAAGTGAACGAGTGTTGTGACTAGTGCAATGGCAAAAGTTGAATTAATTTTGGAACACGTCACCGTCACTGTCTTTTTTGTTTCACACAAACTTCTACCTTCTTCAAAGGGAGAGCGCTTGTTACCGACCACAGCCTCTACGCGGCAGGAGATACTGTGCAGTACAATGTGTGTTAAATGTGTGCAGTATAGGTGTTTGATGCCTAAATAAGCCAACATTGGAAAAGAGTTGCAACCATAAATATTGCTCAAACTTGGTGGAAAATGTGTCTCCATATTTTGAATCTAACAAACCTACTATAATAAGAAAACGCTGAGCTAGCTTAAATTTCCAGTAGGTTAATTTTTCTGAATTTCACGCAAACGATCGGTTTAGAAATGTTTATTCATATCTTTATAATATCCCTCTGTTAAGCGAGTCTAAATTTAATACTTAATTGTGTCCGAAAAACAGTTTCGAGCCTATAACTTCAACTAAGCTACGAGTTGAAATGTGTTGATATGAAAAAACACAGGTGATTGAACAGAAGAGCACAGCGTAAAGGGTACACTCACTTACTCACGTCAGCGCTCTCTGTACCAGAGGAACGTTGTCACTTGTGAATGCAAGTGTACGTCGCTGTGATAAGCATGCTATCAGCTGGATAGAAAGCAGTGACCGTTTCAATCCGTCACAGGGAAAGGGGTAGCCACTCCGTTAGGCGGGGGGCTTGGCGCCATACCCAGGTACCAAGTTCTGCGGTAGCCCACTCCCTGCCAATTTTTGACGAAAGACTCGAAAGAGTCGGTAACTCACGGCCACATGCACTTCCCTGCCGAGGATCGTAGCTTTAGACCCATATGCACGTAAACCCGCTAGGGAGGGGATCTGACAATGAGAGGGGATGCGTCATATCTCGCTACTCTAAAATCTTTCTTCTTTTTTTCTCTATCTTGCATATAAACGTTCTCACGCCTTTATGCCCCCATAACGCATAATGCCAGGTTACTGCCAGACAAGATTGGTTTTCTGCCATTTCGTGTGACCCCCTGGGAATCACACAAAATGGAAAAAAATCAATCTTTTATGGCAATAACCTGGCACCTATGCGCAGTATAAGAGTATGAGAACCTTCATAAGCAAGGTAAAGAAAAAAAAAAGAAATTTAGATTTGCGAGATATGACGCATCCCCTCTCAGATCCTCTCCCCTCCCCAGCGGAGATGTACGTGCGTACGGGTCTAAACTAAAGAAAGCGTGGTGGCCTGAAGCTCCACATATTTGGATTTCACGCTGTCTACTATCCGTAAGTGTTCCCACCGTCTTCGCTATGAACATAATGAACAGGAGCGAGAAGCTGTACAAGCCACGCATGTTGCTGATAAGAAGAATTGAGTTTTTGTAATATCGAAGTTTTCGATAAACCCCACTTTTCGACATTGCAATTTTCATGACTTTGAGACATTATTTGTTCTTATCAACATCATGCTTAGCAGTTGTGTTAGATAATCAGTTTGAAAGATTTTCGTTAGCTTCGAAAAAAATGAACTTGAAGAAAAGATGGTCTGCCACCGGGGATCATACAAAAAGCTGAGATGTGCGGCCTGTACAGTTTCGCTCCCGTTCAATATGATCATAAGGAAGTGGTTGGAGCACTTACGGATAGGTCGACAACGTGAATTTCAGAAGCTTTTAGAGCTTCCAACTATAAAGCTTTCCTTTAGGCCCCGAGCAGACTTCACGCGATTTGATCGTCGCGGCTGAATCGCGAGGAGACAACTGTTACAACATCATTCCATGCCGATCAGCTTGCATTTCGGTTGTGATACTTTTCCAGCCCGAAATTTTTGAATGTGAAATGAGAATGAATGGAAATGTCGGCGATTGAGTCGCGACGATCAAATCGCGTGAAATCTCTCCGGGCCTTAAGCTGCGATTTCATTCCAGCGGGGATGTTTGTGCATGCGGCCCTTAGTTTCCTCATACTGAGCCATCTTATATATAAAGCTGAATGTCTGTTTGTCTGTCTGTATGTCTGTCTGTCTGTATGTGTGTACGTATGTTCCGAATAGAAAATTCCACTTCTGAACCGATCGGGACCAAACTTGACACACATACACTTCGGGCCCCGGCGGGTGTCATAGGCTACTTTTCGTATCGATCGATATCGATTTTATCGATTTTTTGCAAAATTTAAGCTACGGGGCTGGGAGTTGGCACAGGGGGGTAAGTGAGCATGGGGATTCCGAATACAATATTAGTTTTTAAAATCGTGCATTATTTTTATCGATTTTATCGATTTTTTTGCAAAATTTGAGCTAGGGGGCTGGAATTTGGCAGAGGGGTGTAATCCCTCTGCCAAATTCCAGATAATGGGATAAAAGTAATGCACGGTTTCGAAAACTAATATTGTATTCGTAATTAGCATGCTCGATTACACCCCTCTGCCAACTCCCAGCCCCGTAGCTCAGATTTTGCAAAAAATCGATAAAATCGACATCGATCGATAACGAAAAGTGGACTGTGGCACCCGCCGGGGCTCGAAGGGTATGTGTGCCAAGTTTGGTCCGGATCGGTCAAGAAATGGAATTTTCTATTCGGAACATACGGCGGAGCCGGGTAAGCCAGCTAGTTCTTTTAATCAAAGAATTGCAATAGCAAGCGATGTCACTGTTATGACGTTGCTTTACTAAAAGCAGAATGTGAGTACTCTGGCAACAATTTTTTTCTAACTTTAAGCATCATCAGCCTAAGCCGATTCACTTATCACTGCCGATTATTGTCGCTTTTAGATTGTGCATGTGCCAACACTGATGGCATCGTCTAACATCTAGCAAACAGGCGACTGACCCGGTCTAGCCCAGACACCGTTTGAATCGGCCCGAGGGTGAACGATGTTTGGTACGCAAGGTGTAATGACATACCTTTCTCCGCTTGAAATTGCGAACTGCATGTTTGAATTTTGTTAGAGTACACTGAACAGTTATTCTGCTTTTGAAAACACAAAGAAAGCTAGAAGAAGTAAAGTGATCCTGCGAAACACTCGCTTAGAGATGCGCAGACTTGTGAAAAACGGCGGTACGGTGAACGACAAAAAAAGACAAAACAATACAGTGAAAGCCAAAGAACCGAAAAAAAAACAAGAGACAGCTTTTTATTGGTAACCATCCGTCTTTGCAAAAGATCGGCGACTCCATGCGGCTGTAAACGCTAATCCACACTGTACTCTTGTACGAGTCATGTAGATGACTTCTTGTTATACTCCCCTTATTTTGTCGTTGGGCCGAGAAATAGTGTAAAACATTGGTTTTTCCCACATAATTCCGTCATTGCGCGATCTTGTGCTGCGCCGATCGCTTTTAGAGGCAGCGTCCAGGCAAATCTGAAGATATGGGGTTCTGATGTGGAAAGTAATGCGCGTGGGTTCCCCCGATGTGTCGAACTGATGTGTCGCGCCATGAATCCATGCGACTACGATCCCAGGGTCCTGTTTAGAGGCGAGTATCTCAACTGTAAGCTCACCATTTGAGCTGCCGCTTGGGCAGTGTTTTAGTTGGGGCGGGCACCAAAATTACTTTCCACATCAGAACCCCGTACGTTCAGATTTGCCTGGACGCTGCCTTTGATTTATCGTACCTCATTCTTATTCCGACACGTTTGCATATGCTTATCAAACGCTCTTGCAGTTATCTGCAAGCGATGTATGGCTCTGGGTTTCATCATTTGCCGCGATGATGTGATTTGGGAGAATTACCTGAGGTATGAAAAAGCATAACTCAGATGACTTTTACCTACATCATTATAACATTTAGGTCCGCAAGTGTAACGATATTACGAGTTCCATGGATTCGGGTTGCTAGTAGAGATGCTGCATGTGAATATACTGTGAAACACCAGTTGCCAAGATGTACTACTCGAAATCCCATGAACTCCCGAAGTTCAAAGGGTAATCATTTTGGAGTAATGCAAAATTTTCTGAGTACAGAGGCCTGTCTTCACATTTATAAAACGAGTGTTGGTAGATTGTTGTTAACGTGTTCTTTTGAAAAAAATTTTATGTGTGGATCAATCATCGTCAAACTTTGCACACATATGTTTTCGACACCCCGCAGGCTACTTTTCGCAGCGCAGTTCTCACTCCTTCTATTGATCTATCGATTTTGAAGAGAAATAAATTTTTATCAATTGATATCAAACCGCTTCTAAGTTTCATATCTTATATATAAAGCTGAATGTCTGTTTGTCTGTCTGTATGTCTGTCTGTCTGTATGTGTGTACGTATGTTCCGAATAGAAAATTCCATTTCTGAACCGATCGGGACCAAACTTGGCACACATACACTTCGGGCCCCGGCGGGTGTCATAGGCTACTTTTCGTATCGATCGATATCGATTTTATCGATTTTTTGCAAAATTTGAGCTACGGGGCTGGGATTTGGCACAGGGGGGTAAGTGAGCATGGGGATTCCGAATACAATATTAGTTTTTAAAATCGTGCATTACTTTTATCGATTTTATCGATTTTTTGCAAAGTTTGAGCTACGGGGCTGGGATTTGGCACAGGGGGGTAATCGAGCATGCTGATCATCCCCGTGGGGGTGATCAGCAGCATGCTCGATTACACCCCTCTGCCAACTCCCAGCCCCGTAGCTCAAATTTTACAAAAAATCGATAAAATCGACATCGATCGATAACGAAAAGTGGACTGTGACACCCGCCGGGGCCCGAAGGGTATGTGCGCCAAGTTTGGTCCGGATCGGTTGAGAAATGGAATTTTCTATTCGGAACATACGGCGGAGCCGGGTAAGCCAGCTAGTAAACAATAATGGTAGAACTCACAAGGGAACCGTGTCGAGTCGAAGTGGCCTTTCCAGATGAGACCCATACTGCTCTGAAGAGCATTAATCGGTGATTCCAAATCTGCTTTCCAAATCTGCCAAGCGCCTCTGGACGCTGAGTTATGAGCGTTTTTCGGGTCAAAAAATTGAACGCAAAACTGAAACAAAATTGCTCAAATTTGCTTAAATGCTCCAGTGTCAAGTATCAGAGCTGTTTATGCAATGGATACATTTTATTCAATATGCTAATACTTAACATTGCTTTATCCGAGCGCTGGAAAAATTGTAACAATCAATTTTACCTAAATTCTGCATTCATTTTTCGTTCCGAAGAACGGTCATAACTCGGTGTCCAGAGGCGCTTGGCAGATTTGGAAGGCAGATTTGAAATCACCGTTTAATACCCTTCAAAGCAGTATGGGTCTCATCTGAAAAGGCCACTTCGACTCGACACGGTTTCCTTGTCAGTTTCATTCTACGACGAGGGAGAGCGGGCGGTAATCTAAAGGGATTTGGTTCAGAAGGTATCTGCCCTGCGTTAATGAGGTGGAAGAAAGCCGAAACGCAGACAAGTTCTTTAGAGTTGAGCACCATTTTCTCTTTGTAGGGCCAGTTGAAAACACTGTGCGGGCGAAGCCGAGCATGCTAGCTACTATTATGAGATGTAGCCGAACGACTCTAGTTCACAAACAATAAATTATTCTCGGCTGCACTGCGACCTGTAGATAGGCTTCAACACACGCTAACTTACTTATCGGCGATCTTCCCAAATACCTCAATCAAGTCGCCCACGTGGAGTTTTCTTGAGCTTAGATATTGTAGTGCGGAACTTTCGTCCCTTAGAGGCGCCGTCCACCCGACCTCCATGTTTTTGAAGTTGGCTTTCTCATACCCTTGATTCCGAATATAAAGTCGGAACTCATCGAAAACCACGAAAACCCCGTTTTCAAAATCCGCAAAGCGATTTCTTCGGAACGAAGATCGGTTGGGCGCGCACGAATGGGCGGAACGAATGTCACACCTTCTAAAAAAGGAGCCAACGTGGCGAGATTTTCGAAGCAATTTTTTCGCTTTGGAAGACGAATTCGCCACGTTGGCTCCTCCCCAGTGAGTGTGCGTGACGTTAGTCCCACCCATTGAGCGACGCGTAGCAGACCGGAGAGCTGATATTGCGCACGATTCGACTCGCCATGCACAGTGCGTTCCAGCTCAGTTTAAGCGGAAATTGGACTAACGGGAGTCCGCCTCGCAACGATTCGCGCCGCTTTGCAGTCTGCGTCTCTTCATTCTAATCTATCTCGCTGAGCCGGTGGCGGCGTGGACGCGCTGCTCCACTCGAAATGTTCCGCCTACTCCGGGTTGAAAAAGACTGTATATGCATGACGCTTTCAGTGACCTCTCGTAGGCAGAAAGTGGATGTCATGCCATGTCCTTTTTTCAACCATTTTTACCTTTTCCTTAAACTGAGTGTGTCTTTTTCTATCATCTCGACGTAGTAGCATTGGTCCCTCTATCTGTTATGCATTGCGGACTATGATAAATTGATACACATTTGTTTGAGATTTTCTGCCGTCGTTACTCAGGCGGGTATGACACTGTGTAGTCTTGTTTATCCGTTTTTGTTAGCAGTGTTGTTTTTTATTCGAAAAGACAACTTCATTTCAAGGAATTATTACTCGCCATTGTCATTCTTCTTTGAAATTAAATTGAGATTTCATCTGAAATCTGAGGCTAGCTGAGAAGCTTGTATTATCGGTTAACTTTTTCATCTCGGCATAAAAAGACTGGAAAACAAGAAAGAGAAACTGGAAGAGAGGACTCAAGATCCGTGATTTTACGTTTCTTGCTTATGTACATTATAATCACTAATTTTTTCAATGACCTTTCTGTTCATATTTCATGTTCTGTTAGGAAGTTATGGTAGGGAATGCTTTCGACTTTGAGGTCTCCTTCGAGATCAAATGTCATGTTTGCCGATAGCACGACAACATTTGTAGCCGCTGAAAAGATGCATGATAAAAATGTGAGTTGCGTAGCGGCAGCCCTTTTTCTTGGTCATATAGTTGGCCCCTATTAGCCAAAGAGTACGATTGAACTATGAATTACCAACTTATATAAAGACCTTGGACATAAAGAGTTGATCGAGCACTGGTGTTCCGAGATAGCAATGAGTATTACCATACACCGTCTGGTATCGCACGTTAAGACTCCTACCACTCGTTGAGGCGATTTTACACTAAATCTCTGTACGCCCTGGAGTGTGGGACAATGAGATGATCTTTGACATCGCAAAAACCGAACATTTTTCATCAATCAAGTCGACGAAAACCACCTACCATGTGAGGTTTCAACATTAGGAATCGGCAGTTGTGCAACAACACCTTACCCAAATTGTGGGACACATGGAAGATTCTTTGTTGGTGGGATAACGCAACTCTCAGTTGAAGAATGGAGGTGAACATTGCCTATCTGTCGACACTACACTGAATAATACAGGACAACCGCTAACGATAGTGATAATGGTCAGACCAACACCAAGACTAAGTACTACCCTTTTATACCACTGTTTTGAGCCTAGTCGGCTTGGAGCTTATTTCTGACAAACAACAGCATCGCATATAGTCGGGGTTGCCTACATAAAGATAACGCCAGTTGGATTGTCGATGGTGAAAGGTAACCTGAAGACTGAGTGGTCGATAAACAATAGTGTTTGACAACAATAAGCTACTGTGTTGGCTATAACATGATGAACCTACAGTAATAGTTGTTTGACAATGATCTATTGGGAAGGTTTATAGTGGGCACGGTGCACCGCTATGACCTAGTCGGACCCAGGTTCGATCCTGCCCCTGAGTCAGCCAAGCCCACTACTCTCCGGAGACGATGAATTGGTAGGGTAATCTATGATAAAAGCACTGAGTTTGTGATGGACTGGCCCCAATAGTTCTGAGGACTCGCCCACATGCTTGTCTTTTCTAGTATAAAATGGTGTGCGTTCGGCGCATGCCCGCAAAGGTGTTAGTTACACCAAGTCCTTTATCCTCTGTTGAATAGTCTACAACAATAAACACTCACCATCCATTGTTCATTTCCATATACCGAGATAAATTGATACCTCTTCGATAATGATCATGAATGATTCATTCAATAACAAGTTCGACACCTTCGGAGATATTCATTTATGGATCAAAACCACGAGGAACTACCCTACATCAAGAAGATTGAATCCAGAAAGAAGAAACTTCGACGTGGAGACCATAACGGACGAAGCAAAAAGAATTCAAGAAGAGGACAACTTTAACGATCAAACGGACTCAGATAAGCAAATTCAAAAATTGATAAAAACTATGTCTTTTACAAAACACTTGGTAATAACCTAATTAAACGCGTCAAAAATTATTAGAAAATCAAAATTGGAGAAAAAAAGTTTAATTATAAATTCTATTAACAATTTCTATAGAAAAATGAGTTATTCTTAAGTTTTGCCATCCTTCCTTACTGAAGAGTTCCGGGGATGGCTTAGAAACAACACAATACTCCGTCTATGGACAGGAACGAAACGGAGTTCTTAGGTTAATTTTATAATTATGAACATTACCTATTACTATTAATATTATCTATGCTTGTCTCAGTTTACTATAACTGAGTATTCTACTTTCTACTCCAGTAGAGGACATGGTGATTCTCCTTTCATCAGATTGTTCGAGCACATGATGTCGTTGCTGATAACGAAAGACCTGCCATATGCCACGGAGCATCAATTATAGTCGTCCTCACCCGACTAGTCGGTCGGTGGAGATATCGAATTCGAACTGGAGCAGGCAGGTCGCGGCAGGGCACGGCACCTTAGCTCTCCTTTCAAATTCACGTAGTTACTTTGCGTTTTTCTTCGCCATTGCTCAAAAGTTTTTGGTATTGTATCAAAGTTTTTGACCTACATCGAGTTGTTTTTGTAATTGCTGAGCGTTGTCTCCTGCCGCTATGCTCTTATTTTGTTCTAGTTTCGGAAACGATACAAATGGCAAGGGAGCATATAGTTCACTGGAGCAACACTTCTGCACATGTTACTTGTTAAGAAAGGTTTTGCAGTTTAAGTTCACCATCTGTATAGTTTCTCTAGGCTTACCTGCAGAAGTTCAGAGTTGAAGAAACGAGCTTAGCAACACGAAACAACTCCCGACAATAACAAAATTGGCACTTTGTACAAACATACTTATAGTATAGAGACTAGCAAGTAACGAACAATAAACGATAAAGAAACACGCAAAATCATACTGGGGGGGTCAGATGCCACGCTCTGCCGCGACAGGCCTGCTCTAATTCAAATTTGAATTCGTCCACCGACCGACTAGTGGGGTGAGGACGACTATATACTCCGATTGATCGTATCAGTCATACTCAATGCGCTAATTTCAACCTGTATAATGTTGTTGTTCCTTGTCACGTGTGGACTTTATAGTGATGAACCTAGATTCTTTTATACACTGACAAACACTGATCTGAATGAACAGTACAGGTTTATCTAGAGATATACTCAGACAAATCACCGGAACTTCCACAGGACAAGCCAAATTTGCAGAAGTTCCGCAGGATTTTGTTCACTATTGCAAAAATGAAAACGTTGGAGATCGGAACCTTCGCAGAATTTTCATGCCAAACTGGTTGAAAACCGGAACTTCCGCAGAACCCTCTCCAGAGTTCTGCGGAAATTGCGAAAAATGCCAGAGGTTCCGCAGCACTTTGGCGTGCCAGAACTTCCGCAGGACTTTGAATGTGTTGTCTCGTGATGTTGCCTCGCCAACAACTAGAGTGCATTATCGAACATGTCAGCCGTAGCGTAGAGGATAGTAGGTGGGTCTCACAATCAATAGAGTGAGGTTCAAATCTCGCTTCGGTGTTCTCTTTTGCTGTTGTGGTTGGCATTCTTCGGAACTTCCGCAGGACCTCATTTCGGAACTTCCGCAGCACGTTTACGGAACTTCCGCAGGTGACCCGCGGAACTTCCGCCAGCGCTCTACGGAAGTTCCGGTCATTTGTCTGAGTAATACACACAAGAATTATGACTAAAAACAAACATGACACAAACACATGCCAAACTGATGATACGCTGTCGTGAAATCGAATTTATCCAACGTTTTTACACTAGTTAAGCCAACTTTGCAGTGAAAGCGCCGTCGAACCACATGATGAATCGCAAATTACTTTTTGAAACAAAGTTATTAATCTTGTCTTCGTTGAAAAAATATGCAATAAATATGTCAGCCGCTTCGTGTATTTAAAACCAATTCATACTACATTTGATCTACCGCATAAAAGAAGCCGTTGGAATTCCACAAACCAAAAATTTTGTATACAAACTACAGTCATGAGGGAGTATACATGCGCTCTCTGCAAGAACAATATCGAGGAGCAATTCAACACTCATCCTAGGCAGCAAAAGCAACAAATTACAGCGAAAGCGCTTCATATCTATACCCTCACTTTGACCAATGTCTTGCTGTTTTCAATGCAAAACCACGAAATATCTACATCAGCCAATGCACAAACGCTTTAAGTCTCCAAGAAATTACGCGAGAAAATGCAAAATGTGATCTTCGGCGCAGTATCTGCTGGAGTTCTTGCGGGCGGAGGAGATTGTCAACGATTGCAGATGGCACATCATCTCAACGAAACTGAGATCCCGCGCACATTGCTGTGTTTTTAGAACACATAAGACTTCTCACCTATGTCGCATGTTTAAAAATGTTCTATGTTGTACATAAAATTCACTAAGACGATCTAACTGTGACGGACATTCGTTATTTGTGCTAGAAAGGTGTGCTCAAAAAATTCCTCAAGCAAAAAAAAATGAAGAAGAAGAACGACGAGGATACCGGAAAGTGGCGCAAAGCAGCCGAGTGCAACCATTTAACCGAATTTTCCTCAAAAGAAAAACACTTGTATCACAAAGCGGTTCTTGTTTTGCTACTAATAAGATGCTGCCGACAACTGACAGTGAAACAGCGTCTGAACTGCAAGAAATTAATCCAGCTTTGCTGGACAGCTGAACTTAGAGCTTTTCAAACCTAGCAGATGCCGCCATGCCGAAACGATGGTGAAATTGACGTTGTGCTCCCTATCCAACATCTTTTCAGAGTCTTCCCACTTATCGAGTACGTAACGGAGGGGCAGAAACCTGAGATCAGGAAGTGGGAAGGGCAAGACAAACTTCGGGCATTATAAAACAAATTGTATGCTGGTACCACTTCGGCAAGTTCAGCAGCCATTAGCACTAACTTACGCTAGATTGTGAGCGATCCTACAACTTTGAGGATTGATTCTTCAGAAAAACCTTTTAGAAGCTCACCCACTTGGCAACAGAAGCTAACCTGCTGCTACTTTGCCAAACCACTTATACAATCAGTTTGCAAAGCTGATATACTTCATAGAAATGATGTATGATAATCAAGCTAGGACTACTCGACGAATACCCCTATGAGGGGTGAACGACGCATAAAGCATCCTGCGGCCAAGACTACCGTACATGTTAGAAAGGAGGTCAGTTCAATGTGTGAAACATTGCCATAGACGGAGCATATGACTACAGGGGGAATAGCGCAGAGCTTTGCAAAGTCCTCGGTGTCGATAGGCCGGACTCTGCTACATACTAATATCGTGCACCGCTCGCAGACGCCGCGGTAAAAAAAGTCAATTCTCTTTGAACAAGCATTCTTTTCGGGAGAAATTGATGGCCTAGTGGTAGAAGCAACCACTAAATGCTGCGGTGATTCAGGTCAGATCATATGCCTATACAATCAGTATCGACAGACATTAGCTGCACCTTCAAATGGAAATGGAGTCTTCTTATAAAAAGCATGGCAATCGGATCGATTACATTGGTCCATGGCATCCTTCAAGATATCCCGACAAGTCTGCGTGAGGTGAGGTTTGAAATAATCTAATTTTATCCTCTACATCGAATCATTAAGGCGGTAAAGCGAAGGGATTGCACGGCCTACACAATTTGGAAGAACAACGTCAAAGCCTATATACGAAGCTTTGAGCAAGGGTGTCAAGCCGGTAAAGGCGACATAATAAAACATTACTTTAATACCTATATCTCTCAGTAACAGGCAAAACCAGTTGACACAGGTAGCTGCCTCGCATCGATAAATGCTTCAACACTCACATTTCTTGAAACAGCATACCGGAACCATCAGCTGTACGCATATAATGAAGCTGCGG